AAAATGGTGATTGTGGAGAAATGAAATAATGTCGTTTGGGCTGCTGTGTGTATTAGTCGTCTCACGCTGCCAGACGTGATAGGTGATTTGTAAGGGGAATATGTACCATCTTCGTATTTTTGTTTTGATTTAAATTTGCATACCTGTGAGGCATTTGGTAAATGATTGTATTAGCTGGTATTTCTGTGTTTCCCAAGTCATTTTTCTGACTGGGCCATTCAGGAACTACTGTCACTAAAACCAGTACTGCCCAGATGTACGTAACTCGTGCCTTAGTCACCGCTGGTGGCAGGTTAGGCGCAGAAGGGAAATAAAATACCTTGCAAATAATGGGTGGGTGCTGTTCATGGCTTTAATTAAGGGCTCTTAAAATCAGACTTTTACAGAAGGTTTTTTTTACCTGACTTCCTAGAGCCTGTAACGGCAGTGTTTGCTATTCGTGTACTTGATTTCAATGGACTTTTTTTTTTTCCCCAGTGATCTCAGAGACACTTGTGTTTTGTAAACTTTGCTCTCTGTAGCAATGCTGTTACTGCGCTTCAGCTGCTTTGTCGGCTGGTGTTCAAGCTAATTTGTGGTTACTAGAGATTTGGCTGCTGAGAGAGCCAAAGGGTGGGGAAAGGAGGGCTTTGATAGCAAGCTGTCTGAAAGCTGCTTCAGGAAAAATAAATTGCACTCTACTGACTTCGGTGGAAGGGAGCAGAATGTAACATTTCACAACTTTCGCTTGGTTATTTTCCATTGCTTTTGTTACAGGTACTGAGTAAAATTTGTTCTCAGTACCACGTCAAGTTAAACATCTTCCTCTCTCCACAGATACAGTAATGGTATTTAAAAGTCATTAGCAAATTGGATCCTGTACAGCAGGATGTCTTGATGGAGTCTCAAAATAAACCTTTGCACAGACAGTCTGCAGTTGTGATTATTTTTTTTTTGTCTGCTACAAATAGCAAATACTTTCCAAAAAGTATTGGATTTTAGAAAATCTTAGTCTGGACAGTAAGCTTAATTTTGGTATAAAAAATGACTTTAGCGCATGGGTTATACTTTAAGTAGCCTTTGGAGCTTGGTGGGGTTTTTTTCCGCTAATATTTTTTGAGACTTTGTATGTGCTGGTCTGGGTTGCTTTACCTGCAGCCGCTGTAAGTATCCTTTTAGGTAAATCTTAGTGAAACAGCAGTGGTGTTAAACAAGTTACATTTACCCATAGCATCATTCTTAAAGCCATGTTTTACTTTAGTTCTGAATTCTTTAAATATAGCCGTGGCTAGACTTACGGTAGTGAGATTTTAAAAGTTTGCATTCTTGATTAATCAGTATTTCCATTATGAAATGTAAGGATGTGAGTGGTTAGGATGATGTCAGTCTCAGCAAAGATATCTTTATCACCGTCTATAAATAGACAGCGAGCTATTGCGGAAGGCACTTCCTTGTACCAAGAGAAAAGGTTTGTGAAAGAAACGAAACTTGGTACGGAGTTGGCCGCGGTCCCTGCTGCGTCTCGATAGACACTGTCGCTCGCTGTGCAGCACTCACCCGAGGGACACGGCTGGGAAACCCTCTCCCAGCTCTCCTCCACCGCTGCTGTAGATCAGAGGCTCTCCGTAGCTTCATGCAAAGGCTGAGAAGGATGTAAATCTTCGGATTGGAGATGATCTTGCTGTAACTTGCAGGATCAGACCAGCTGCTTGCCTTGCCCAGTAACACCAGTATTAACACTGAAGCCTTTTAGTGTGGAACACACTTTATACATACAATTAGTTGGGAAATGAGAATTGACACTTGCTGTGCTGCCGGTAGTTGTTGCTCATAAAACTGTGAAGTCTCTTTTGTGCTATGTAACCTCAGAAATCCTAAGTCATCATGAGACTGCTTCGTAACGAAAATAAATAATAAAATACCTTGTAAACGTGTTTTCTTGAGATATGGCAACTTACAATTCTAGTTAACTGCTTTATAGCCTATTGTTATTCGTGGGAACAAAGAGTCATCATGTTTTTTACTGCGGCTTGTGTGAAGTTTGATTGACATAGTTTTAGGGGGGTGGGGGCTGTCATGAGGAATTGGTTGAAAAGGTTGATTCGGGACTTTTTCAAAAGGACCCTTCACAAGTCTCCTCTTGATTACAAGGGAGCTGTGTTCACCCTCTCATGGGCGTTCTTGCAGAGCGCCGAATGCTTCGGTCTTACAAGGGGTGCAGTGACACTTGGCCCTGCAGATACTCCCAGTTAATCCCAGGATAAAGAAAAGCCGCGTTTCTTGCGGGTGTGTGCCGATGGGCCTGAGGAGCAGCTGCGAGGCTGCAGGTAATGGCTGGCAGCTGGGAGGCAGCACTGATGCTGCACCCAGGCTGCTGCGGCTGGATTGCTTTTTATTGAAGCTCCTTATTTTCAGTAAGGCTGCCAGTCGCCTTGGCTGCCAGTGGGAGCCATGTGGTGATCATATGCCGCAGAAATTAATGTCCTATTGTGCCCTGGGGAGCTGCTCATGCTGGACAGGGGTGGGTCTTGCCCTAGCGCTACAGCCATAGCAGCAGAGACATAAATACAGACCTACAGACACACATAAATAGGTGTGTGTATCTATCTATCTATATTAAAAAAATAAGCACACATGCATATATAAAAAAATACATATTTATGTATGAGGTACATAAATGTGTGACACATAATGTGTCTCACCTCTGCCTGGTAAGAGCATGGAGCAGAGCCTCCTGGAAGCTCTGCTAACACACGTGGAAATTAGGGTGATCGGTGACAGCCAACATTGTTTCACGAAAGGCAAATCATGGCTGACAAATCTGGTGGCCTTCTACAATGGTGACCCCATCATAGTGTTGGTGGCTAAGGGAAGAGCAACTGATGTCATTTACCAGGACACGGGCAAATCATTTGCCACTGACTTGCATAGCAGCCTGGTCTCTCAATTGGAGAGACATAGATTTAGTGGATGGACCGCTCGGTGGATAAGGCATTGGCTGGATGACCACACTTGAAGAGTTGTGGTCAATGGCACGCTGTCCAAGTGGCAACCAGTGATGAGAGGCATCCCTCAGGGGTCAGTAATGGGACCAAGGCTGTTTAACATCTTTGTTAGAGACATGGACAGTGGGCTTGTGTGCAACCACAGCAGGTTTGCCCATGACACCAAACTGTGTGGTGTGATCTACACACTGGAGAGAAGGGATGCCATCCAGATGGGCCTGGATGGGCTTGAGAGGTGGGTCCGTGCCAACCTCATGACATTCAAGGCCGAGTGCAAGGTCCTGCACATGGATCAGGGCAATCCCAAGCACAAATACAGGCTGAGTGGAGAATAGGTTGAGAACAGCCCTGAGGAGGACTTGGGGGTGTTGGTTGATGGTAAGCTCAACATGAACCGGCAATGTGCGCTCACAGCCCAGAAAGCCAACCACATCCTGACCTGCATCAAAAGAATTGTGGCCAGCAGGGTGAGGGAGGTGATTCTCTCTCTCTACTCCATTCCCGTGAGACCCCACCTGGAGTACTGCATCCAGCTCTGGAGCCCCCAACATAAGGACATGGAGCTGTTGGAGCAGGGCCAGAGGAAGCCATGAAGACGATCAGAGGTCTGGCACACCTCTCCTGTGAAGACAGGCTTAGAAAGTCGGGGTTGTTAAGCCTGGAGAAGAGAAGGCTCTGGAGAGACCTTCGAGACCCTTCCAATCCCTAAAGGGGCTACAGGAAAGCTGGGGAGGGACTCTTGATCAGGGAGGGGAGCGATGGGACAAGGGTTAATGTTTTTAAACTGAAGGAGGGGAGATTTAGATTAGATATTAGGAAGAAATTTTTCACTCTGAGGGTGGTGAGCCCCTGGCCCAGGTTGCCCAGAGAAGCTGTGGCTGCCCCATCCCTGGAGGTGTTCAAGGCCAGGTTGGACGGGGCTTGGAGCAACCTGGGCACACACATGCACCTAGATAGAGGTGGGCAGTGGGCACAGAGCCACATCACACATCGGCATCTCACGCACACCCCACTCTGCCCCTGTGCTTTACCTCAGTCCTTCAAGGCACGTTCCTGCCTTTCACTCCCCACACTTGAGGGCCGGCTTGCTTCAACCAGCAGAGCTCCGTGCCGTGGCCCCGGCCCTGGTGTCAGCACCCCTCCCCATCAATAAGCTGACCAGGCACCGCGACTTGTATTTTAAATATTGCTTCTTTAATAATCTACATCGTGGTAGTAGCTCCAAGGGAAGATACAGCTGACAGGATTTTTCTTCTGCCCCCATCTCTCTCCACATCAGTAATTCTTTATTGCTGCAGACTTTTCTATCCCCTGGCTCCCGCAGGCCACGGTTCAATTTAATTCTGCTAATTATCTTAAATATAAAACATAATGCAACTGATCCCCTGACATTGCTGTAGTAATAAAAAATAGAAAAGGAAAAAAATAAAAATGTTTGTATCCTTATTGCCAGTGTGTGCCAGTAAACTGCTTTTTCCCTTACAAAAGCCCTGCTCCTCACGCCGGATAAGGCTAACGTCTCCCTCTCTGCTGAGGGCCGATCCCACGCCGAAACAAAAGTCAAATTATTCCTCCGGCTGAAAAAGGGGAATTTAAAAAACGGTTGCAAGAAAAGCCCAACAGTTTCCTACTTTAAAAACAGTTCACAGTTCTTTGAAAGGGACTGAGCAGTACAGTAGAGAGCTACATTTACTGAAAACTTCTAGTGCTGATAAAGTTTCTTAAAAAAAACCATTTAACCCAAACAAACCCCAAATTAAATTAAACCAGGAGAGGCGGTTGGCAGGCCAGGAGGAGGAGGAGGGCATCCTGCGCCGCCCGGGGAGCCGTCAGGAGGTCCCCTGCTCGACGGATAGGAATCAAGTGAAGAAAAAAAAAAACCAACATAAAAATACAATATTTTTTTTTAAAAAAAGACATCCAGTTTTCCAGGCTGGGCGGTGAGGAGACCCCCGCGCATGAAGGCACACCAGCGCGAAGGCAACGTGATCTGTTGAAAACACAGCCGGCCACCGGCTAGAAGTTTGCCCCGTGAGGCGGGTGAGGGCCGGCGTCTCGCTGGGGCTGAAACGAGATGGGGGCAAAAAGCAAAATATCAGTCACCTGTGCCGTGAACGCACCCCCATCCCCTGTATATTTACCCCCCGGGGACCTTACCTCCCCATGGCCGGGCTTCTGGGCCAGGGGGGGCTTCTTGAGGATGCCTCTCCTGGGGGCCGGTGCCGGCTTCGCCTCCCCGTCCTCCGCCGCGTCGTAGGCCGCCCCGGCCAGGGCGTAGTGCTGCTTCCTCAGCTCGCCCAGGCGCACCCGCTCGCCCTCCAGACGCTTCTCCAGCTCCAGCACCTTCACCTGCGCCCAAACAGCCATCTTGGTCCCTACGCACCCGGGGGTCCAACATCCCGCGCCACCCCCAGTGCTGGCTGCGGGGAGCAGAAGAAGGGACACCCCCACTTTTGCGGGTCCAGATCAGGACCTCAGCCTGGCCAAAGCCAGCAGCAAGGAATCCACCCTCATGGCCATACCTGTGTTTCCATCTCTTCCTTTTTCAGCTTGATGAGGGACATGCCCGAAAAGTCCATGGTGTCTGTGGAGAAAAGTGGGGGGTCCTCGCTGAGTGCACCCCTTGCAAAGGACCCTCACGTACCAAAATGAAGCCAGATGGGCACCTTGTGATGTTCGCCAGGCCAGAAAGGGATTTGGGGTGGGGTTTCTTTTTTTCTCCTCTTTTCTTGCAAAAACCTCACCTTTCTCCTCAATCTGTTCTTGCCCCGACTTGGTGGAAGCCACCACGTTGGCCGCCATCTCGTTGACGTTGCGTGAGCACTCCTGGAGCCGGCCCAGGTTCCTGCTGCTCTTCTCGGCTTTCACCTGCGAAGAGTACAGGGACGGCTGTGGGTCACCACCGCGACACCTCTGCACAGGCGCTTGCTGGCTTGGGGGAGCCCCCAGGCAGCCATGTTCTGCGTTAGAGCAGAGACACCGAGCACACCATGTCAGAACAGTCCTTGGGGGTGAAAAGGACGGACAGACAGGTGGACACACACTTGATTTTGCTGATCCCATCAGGGCCAAACAAGGTGACCCCTGTGAGGCCCTTAAGCCTCAGGACACCAAACCAGCTCTGCCCCCACCTGAGCCAAGAACACATGGATAAGCAGCATCAGTGAAGACAGAGCTTTTTTTTTTTTTTTAAGCCATCCTCTTAATTTTAAAACCATCTGCTGTAAAAAAGCAGAATGGGTTCTCCTCCCCCCAACCTGCATCCCCATTTGCAGATTGAAACCTCCACCCATCGCTTTCACCCACACCAACAGGAAAGGTGGCAAGGACCAAAATCCATCATTCTCAATGCTGGCTCCTGCAGTTACTTATTCAGGATTTCTCGTTAGTTATTAACATTTTCTTTACATAATCAGCTTGAAGGAGGAAGACAGGAGGTTTTACATATCCTCACCTCCAAGGCAAGCCCTGCTAGGTGGGGGAATATTAACGCAGGTGAAGACACATGGATTAAAATCACAGACTGACTTGGAAATGGTAAGAGCTTCCCTTCCTCCCTGCTCTGGGAGGAGGCTGCAGAACTGGTGGACAGGATGGCCATCCACCGCTGCCCAAAACCATCCATGGGACAAAACCACCCATGGGACAAAACCACGGGAACAAAATGACTTAAAATTTGACAAGCTGCACGCAGACGGTCCTGTTGGGACACTCACCTTGGAGGCAGCCACGAGCTGGGCTGTGCTGGCGGCGATTTCATGGGAACAGACGATCAGTTCTTCGTACTTGCCCGTATGCAGGACAACTCTGTCTGCTGACTCTCTGCGTTACAGATCAGAAGGGAGATCGTATTAGAGATACTCACCCTACACTATGAAGCAAGTGCAGGTTATTTACCTCCTGCTATACCCTTAGCAATCAGCATCCGGCTTTGAACCAGCAGCTTTGGCTGTAATTATTTAAAGCTCATTTACAAAACAAACTACTCAAAGCCCAGATCCAGAAGTTTTGGATGGGTATAAAATATCAAAGGCGGCAGGATTGTGTTTCTGTAATGAAGCGGATGAGATTTTTAAAGCTTTGTCCAAAAAAGCCCCCACATTTCCTGTACTGGCATGCTGATACCCTGCCCCAATCCCAACCACTCTGTCCACAACCATCTGAGCAGCAACCAGGACACGGAGTACTTCATTGCAGCAACTTTCACATTTTGCAGACAGGGAGGAACTGGCAGTCCCTATTTTGGTGACCAGTCTGACACGGGCTACGATGCTTTATAAGCAATTAGTAATAACGCTCCATGCAGACTGAGCAGCAGGACAGTTTGGGTTATCAAGCAATGGAGAAGAACGGGCTGTCCCCGGGCGCAGCACACGGAGCCGTGCCTGGAGAGAAGCCCCCTGTAGTGGCTGTGGGAGAGGTCCCGGGGGTACCTACACGAGCTGCGTGGCTCCCCAGCCCACCGCCTTGGAGGCAGAGATCAGCCCTTCGGTCCAGCGCGAGTTCTTGGCATAAAACTCCTGAGTTGTTGCTGCCCCCTGTTGTTACAAGAATATTACGGCCCGTATTATCTTGTTTCTAATATACAACAACATATAAATCCATAAATCCATATAAAATATCCCTATAAAATATAACAATATACACAATATATAAAGCCATAAACCAAGGGATTGGCAGCCCTTCTGTGTCCTCCAGGGCTGCTCTTACTGGCCTGCTTAAATACATATCAAGAAAACTAGTTTTGGAGCCCCAAGCCTGCGAATTTGGGAGGGGTTTAAAACACACAAGCTCGGGCCACCGCCTTTAGATGGACAAGGCTTTGCAAAGGCGACAGCGGTGTGCAGAGAGCATGGGGCTGAGCAGCCCATCGCCAGCAAGTGAGATTGCCAGAGTACTGCTAACACGGGAAAGCACGAAATTCAGCATGTTTCCACAAATTGTGGGAAATGCTCCCATATTTAATGTCAGCGCAGAGAGAGGAGTGTCAGGGAGGACTTACCCGGCCACTTTCTACTATCTCCTTCTGTAGGTTTGTGGATGTCATTACAAGAAGTCTAATAGCCTGGAACAAATAAAAACAGGTTTTGGTGTTTGATGGGGATTTTATAGAGAAGGATTGATGCTGCTGATGGTGAGAAGTTACAGTTTTGCACAGTCTGTGATGCCCCAGCTCAGTTTCTGCAGTACTAACCTTCATTAGGTCCGTGCAGGAGTTCAGAATCCTGCAGGGAAACAAGGGAAAAGTGTTCAGCACCCTCCAACGCCATGTCCAGGGAAGCAGGCTTTGGCCTCAGTTAGAAAACGTGTTTTTTGGAGACAGGCCAGCCTGCAGGTTACTTCTAAGCAGCCCACAAAGCAGCCACGAACAATTGGCTAGACATGCAAGACGAAAGTCCACCCTCCTAAAGAGAATTTCGTGCTCAGCATCAGGATGATGCAGCACCCGGTTGCATGCGCAGCTTAGGAGTAAAGCACAGCCCAGCAGGATATGGGCACGGGACAGAAACCTGCCCGCGGCCACACGCCACCCCTCAAAACTCACCGTTCGCTCACTTCAAGCTTAACACCGGAGCTCTCGTTTCTGGCCTGGCTCATCATCTCCTGTTGGCAAACACAAGAGAGAGGGTTGGACACCATGTTGCTGTGATGGTGGAGGAGGAATGGAAACTGCTGCCCTGAGGCACCAAAACGGCCTGTCCTGCAGCTTTGTCTCACCTCTATCCGCCTGACAGCATCCTCAATTGCCTCTGAGGTGGAGGCCATCTCCTTCTCAACCATGTCCCCCAGCTCTTCTTGCTTGATGTCTAAGCTCTTGGGCCTCAGCTCCTGCCAGACGAAGCAGCAGCCACCAGGAGGTTTTAGGCAGAGGGAGAGAAGGGAGTATTTGTAAGGAATAACACCAAACCAAGGCACCAGGCTCCGTTTCCCCCTCCCCTAAATAAATGAAGCTGCAGAAGCAGCATTCTGCAGACTGTGAGGGTGGAGGCACATGTGCCACCAACTTGCAGCAAACATGGCACAGGGACCTCAGAGGTAAGAACTGCCCCAAATCGAGGTGACAAAACTCCATCACAGGAGCAGTTTTGGCAGGGCAGAGCTCCAGAGGGCTCTGCAGAGCTGACAGCCTTTGAATTAACAGAGGTTTAATGGGAAAGACTAATGGGGGCTTCACAAGAAGAAATATCTGAAAGTTGGGAAGTTTTATTCTGTGTGGATTACTGAGCTGAAAGGCTTCAGCTAATCTGAGGGTGACTGTCTCCGTGCTCCACCAGGAAGGGTCTCGGGACTCAGAAGCTGAGATGGCTCAAGGAAAGCACCAGAACCTGTGGGTATGGAGAACAAGCCACCCCAAAGCGCTCACTCCAACCCAGCGTCTCCAATTTTAGCTCTGGACAACAGGGAATGCCGTGGTTTGATATCTTTTTTTTTTTTTTAAAAAAAAAAAAAAAAGCTGTTCATTGAGGTGCAGCGAGCAAATGTCCCACAAGTTAACACCCTTCTGCAGTAAGTTCCCTGCTTTGATTTTTCCTTTAGGAAATGCCAATGCCAGTAAATAACCCACCCCGCCAGCCCCGGGCAAGAGGGTGGGTGTGCTGGGCTCCGTATCCTACCTGGGCCAGCTGCAGGACCCCCTGCAGCGCCCGCCGCACGTCCCCCAGCTCGGCATGCCCCAGTGTCTGCTTGTCCTTCAGCAAGCCCAGGTAGTCCAGGCTCCGCTGCCCGCAGTCCCGGCATGTCTCCGTCAGCCCTGGGTAGAAGATGGGGCAGTGCCAGGCCCCTCGCTGGGCAAGGGGTCCCTCCATCCCAGCCCTGTCACCCTCCTCTTCCTCCTCCCCTTGGCTGTGGAAATGATGCCGAGCATTGGTCGCATCTAGCAAATTTCTTGCAGAAGAACATAAATTGTTTTCCAGGATCAAAGTGACATTCCTGGCCCAGGAAGGGGCACTAGAGGGGAGAGAATGTCGGTAAGGGGAACAGAGGGAGCTGTGGGCACTGTGCTGCCCCCAGGGAAGATCTGCCCCGTATCCAGCTACTGGCAGAGGGGACTTTGGCATGGCCACTCTAAAAAAAAGCCCTAAGTGCAAAAAAAAACCCCAACACCCGCTACGTCCACAGATGGCACTCACGGTCAGCATGGTCGGTGGGAGCCAGGTGAGATGTGGCACTGCCATTCACGATGGTGTCCGCCGTCAAGTGTGCGAAGAGGGCCAGAGCCCCCACCAGCCCCGCAGCATCTGCCGGCGAGAGCACGTGGTGAGGCGCTGCCAGCCCAGGGCACCACTTGCCGTGTCCTGGAGGCTGCAACCCACCCTCGAAGACACTCGAAGATCAGTACAAGAGTTTGGAGAGGTTGGGATCGACCCCTCCAGCTTGCAGGTTGCTCCTTGAACGAGCACATGGGAACCCACCAACTCTACCTGCCGCATCCCTCCATCACCAGGGCACTGCATGTTTGCCAGTGCCCTCAAAGCAGCCGGGGACTGCTGGATGTATACAAATAAGAGCAAGATGCAAGCAATGCCACCGATTCCCAGCCCCAGGTACCTGCCATGGAGGCCATGTACTGCGTGTGTCCATTCTCCAGGGCATCCGTGGACTCCAGCGCTGCCTGTGCCCGGCTGAGCAGGTAATCTGCAACGAATTTAACTTCATTAGTGCTGTTAGGCTGCTGAGTGTCTGAACGAGCAGGAGCGCTGACTTCACAAGGCACCATTGAGCAGAAACCAAGATGGCTTGTGTCCTCGCAACCCCAGCTGGGGAGCAGCACTAAAATCTGAGTCATTAAAGCAAAATAGTGCTGAGATCGGAGCTAAAAATTTACCCCTGGAAGTCAGACCCCAACCTCCTTGGGTGTGATGTTTGATGGGAAAAGATGCCTGGGGGTAGCCGAGATGCAACATTATGTGTCTGAGATGGGAGAGGGGGCTGTGGGTCGCAGCCCCCGTGGTCGAGCGGGACGTACCTGGGGAGCTGGTGCAGCGGACGTGCAACGGGTCGTCCAGCTTGGCCACCGCATCACGGAGGATGTCCTCCGCCTCCCGCACTGTCTCCTGCAGGATGCCAAACTGCTCATCCAGAAGCTTCTGCTGCAGGCTCTGCTCCTGGTTGCTCTGCGGGGCAGGAGGGACACGTGAGAGGCACAGCCAAGGCGCAGGACAACGGTCACCATGGCCGTGTCACCAGCACGTCCCCTGAGAGCGCATTTGTGGATTAGACCCCAGCATCCCACTATTGCTGGTGCAGCTCACGCCCCACCAGCTACACTGGCGATGGCTCAGCTGAGTCCCCACTGCTCAGCACCCCGCAAACATGTCTTGCCCCAGCGAGCGGAGGGGCAGCGGGCTCTCCACACAGCACCGTACCTTCTCCAGGAGCCTCCCCTGCAGCTCGCGGATTTCCCTCGTGGCCTTGTCTGCCTCCTGGCTCAGCTGCAGCTCCTTCTCCTCGATGAGGCCACGCGTGGAGAGCAGCTCGCACTCCTTCTCACTCACCGACCGCCTCAGCACCTCCTTCTCAGCGTGCAGGGCCTCCACCTGGGCACTGAGCTCTGCTCCTGCCTGCCAGCGGGGCCAGGAGACCCCTGTCACCCACTCATCGCCATGTCACAAACCCAACACAGGGGGAGAGCTGAGGGCATGCTCAGCTCGTGACACCAATGGGGTGGACCACATTCAGCCCCATGACAGCTTCCTGGCCTGCTGTTTGTGCCGCTGGCATAGCAGTGGTGGCAGACACGCCGTCTGGCATGACAGGGATTTGCGATGGGGATTTGGGGGCATCCTGTGCCCCCAGCCTTGTACCTGCTTGGCGTGGCTGAGCGAGCGCTGCGCCTGGTCCAGCTCGTCCCGCCGGGCATCCAGCTCCTGCCGCAGCTGCTCCATCTGCACGCTCTGGTCCTCCAGCTGCAACCGCACGCCCACGCCGGGGGCTCAGCCGCTGCAAACGCGCTCTGGCCCCGCTCGGCACTGGCGGATGGCAGGAACGAGTCCGGCCGTGTTTTGCAAGAGGGGTTTCTAGGGTCTCAGGGTTGGTGTACTGAAAGGGCTCCTTTCCCCAGGGCAGGAATTTTGGGAGCAGCACCCAGCTTGGACCCCGGAGAATAAAAGCACCCAAACCCACCAATTTGCAATGTGGAAGAAATGGCAGATTTGGGCAAGAGGGAATGAAGCGCGTATTAAATAACACCCTCCTAAGGAGTAAGGGCAGCTCTTTCTTTTCACCCCTACCCCCCGCGCCCAAACTGTGCACAGCCACCACGTTTCCTGGGCTGGAAGGGCTCGGTGCTGGGACAGCGGGGCCGCACTCGGAGCTGCGCTGGCTCACCTTCATCTCGGCCTCCCGCTTGACCTGCTCCACCTGAAACGCCAACTGCTCCTTGACGCGCGCCACCTCCTCCTGGCTCTGCTGCGTGACCGTCAGCTGCTTGGCAGTGTCGGCGTTCTGCGTGGGGACACGGGGCTTAATGTGCATTTGGAGAGGGGACCCTCACCACCGCTGTGCTCGTTCTGCCCAAATTCTGGCTTGGGAGGTAGCTCAGAGATGCCTTTTTCATGACATCCAGAACACTGACCATCAGTGGACATGAATTCAAGGGGTGCCCCCCACCCAGTGCTCGGAGGTCCCTGGGTGTGGGATGACGGGACAAATACGAGGTGGTGCTGGGCATGCACAAGCCACACCAGTGGTGGCAGAGGAGCGAAGGCAGCAGTCTGTCCCTGCCTGGCGCAGGCAGCAGCATTACCTTCCTCAGGAGCTCGGCGTGCGTGTTGATGAGCTCACTGTGCTTCTCCTTCAGCTTTGTGTACCGGATCTCGGTGGCATTGGCTTTCTCTGAATGGGGTGAGAAGGCATCAGCAACGGCAACGCGGGTGTCCCGCGGCCAACAGGAGCTGTAGGGCACTTACTTTCTGCTTCAGCGCAGAGCCGCTGGGACCTGTCGCTGTCCTGCTTCACCCTCTGCAGCCTCTCCAGCTCATCCCGCAGCTGCTCGTTGTCCACCAGCGCCTTCTGCTTCTGCTTGCGCTGCTCCTCCACTTCGCCCTCCAGGCTGTTCACCTGCGCCTTGAGCTGCGTGATGTAGCGCTGCGCCTGCGGGACACCGTTGGGCTCTCAGGCACTGCCCTGCACCGATGCCAGCAATGACTCTGCCCTCCCCAACATCCCTATCCAGGTGCCCAGCTTGGGGCAAAGCAGCCGTAAGATGCAGGTAGGAAAGCTCTCCCCTCCGCCCCTGGAAGCAGCAAGTGAGGACGGCGAGGGACAGGTCTCACCTGTCCCCACCTCATCTCCATCAGGAGTCAGGTCCTGGCACCGGGAAAGGCCCCAAGACACAGCACGGGGTGCCAGGACCCCACTCCTGCTGCATCCCGTTGGGGTTTCCATGCTATAGCACCAAAACCCACCCTGCTCTCCTGCACCAGCTGCTCCCTGGCTGGGCTTTACCTCCAGTTTAATCTTCTCCATCTCTGCCCGGAGCATGTCCACCTCCTTCTTCAGGCTCTCGATCTGTGCGTCCCTGCAGAGAGAGGCAGGTTGGTCCCACGCAGCAGTGGCTGCCCCCCCTCTGCCACCACAGACCCCCCGTACCTGTCATCCCGAATGCCGTTGGGCGGCCCGAACGTTTGCTCAAATATATCCGAGGTGATCTGGGGAAGACAGAGGGTGCCGAGCTGAGCCAGGCTGCGGGTGCCCGTCTCCCCTGTCCCAGGGTCCCCATCCCATCCCTGTTCCCCAACCTGCGGCTCCGTGGTGGAAGTCGTGCTGATCTCAATGAGGTTCTCCGGCTCCTCATCCTCAGGGGCTTCTTCTGGGATGACAACCACCGGTTTGACGTGCTCGGCCAGCGCCGATGCCCGCAAGAAGTTCGGAGGGCTCTGCAGGGACAAGAAGTTGTGGTGGCATCACCTGGGGTTTTGGGGACTGCTGCAGGCAGACCACCAAGGGGAGGGAGGCAGCTATCCCCGTGCTGCTGAGATGGGCCACTGGATCCCTCCACAGTGTCCCCAGACCCTGAACCCATCTGTGGGGACACCCTCATGCACCCCGAGCCCACAGGATTTTGAAAGCATCACGTATGACCAAAATCCCACCATATATGCTTTTGAAAGCATCATGTATGACCAAATACCTCCGGCAGCCTGGGGATCTGGATGAGCCGCTTGAAATACAGCATGTCAGATGCTTTCTTAAAGAAGTTTTTGAGGCTGGAGAGGGACAAAAGAAAAACCATTTGCAGGGGAGGCAGGGGGGGTCGGCAGGAGGGAGAGGACCCCGGTGCCCCACCTCTACCCCGGGTTACCTGCGAAACTGCTCGTTGAAACGGTCTCGGTGGCCCTGCAGTGTGTCGGCCGGTAGACCTGCAGCGATGGAGGGGGGACAGCCGTGACTGATCCGGGGCTGCAAATTTATTCTCACGCACCCGGTTCCCTCCAGCTGCAAAAGGCAGCAGGGAAAAGCCCAGGTGGAAGTGGGATGTGAGGGGTCAGGACGGGAGTGGGGTATTCCCATCCCTGGCTTAGGGACCAGGGATATGGCACAGGGAGAGGAATGTGTGGGAAACCCAAATACCCGCGCGAGGCCCCCGGCACCGCGCTGCCCAGCAATCCTGTGCAGGAGGCTGGCGGGCCAAGGCACATAGAATCATAGAGTGGTTTAGGTTGGAAGGGACCTTGAAGATCATTGAGTTCCAACCCCCTCATCGAGTTCCAACCCCTAACGTCGTTTTGAATTCATCAAGGACAAGTCCTTCTAATTCCTTCATCTGTGATGTCTACGTGGGATGGAGCGGGTCCTTAGAGCCCGGCTGGGATATGGTGACATGGCGATGGATGCTTCCATCCACACAAGCCTGATCCTCAAATCCAGCCAGAAGACTGACCCGGGAAAAGACCAGCGCAGGACACATCCCCAGGGACTCACAGGCATGCAGCTTGAACATTAACTTGACGGCATAGTGGTAGAGGTGGCTGCAGTCCTGGATGACCTGGATGAGGGGAGCCAGGCGGCACTGCACCGCCGACATCTGCGAGACCGCCATGGAGGTGTTGAGCTGCCTGAAAACTGAAGGGTTGAGTGCGGTGAGGCGCTGTCGCCGTGTTTGCAGAGCTGTCCCGCTCTGGCCGACTCAGCTTGATCATTAACCACGACGGCTGTGGCTTTGCCAGGACACAGGGTAAACGCCGGGGTTGCTGCCCATCCTGTCCCGCTCAGCTGGGAACAACCCCACTCCATGCAAGAAAAAACACCCAAAGGGAGCGTGGTGGCAGAGGGAAGGGGTGCTCAATATACCCCGACCCCCAAAAGGAAGGATTTAACCCCAGAAAGATGCAAAAGCTCTATTTAATCGTGCAAAGAGCTGGGAGAGGATCCCAGGGCAGGGGACGGGCCCTCCGGCACCACAGCCTCGCCTGCCCGGCTCGGAAACGGATCCCTTCCCTTGGCAGAGATCCAGCCGGCATATCCACTCTGCCTTCTTCCCTGCTCAGCTTTAAAGTATTTATGAATATAAATTCTCTGTATAACTGGGTCAGGAGGAGAAGCAGGAGGCTGCCGGGAGCCGGGAGCACAGTCTCTCCCACTGTGCCCCGTTTTCCAGGGCAGCTCCGTGTTCCTGACTCATGACAGAGGAAGAAACCACCACATTTTTAAGCCATCTAAAAATTCCTGGAGAAGGAGGTGAAAGAAGCAAACAGGGGCAGGGGCCTCCAGCCCTCCCCACAGGTATTTCAACAAGGGGAAATGAGTATTTAGACATGACGTTCAGCCCCATCCTCTGTTTTGGGGGGGGGGGGCACACGATTAACATGGTTGTACCAAAAGGAATAAAAAAATATTTCAGATCAGCACAGCTCTGACAACACACTCTGCATTGCTCAGGTGGGCTAAAACCAGCCACATTCCTTAAATATTTTCCTACCACTGCCTCTACGGAGCATCAACAGGGGAATCCAGCTGAGAAACAACCTCAGAAACCTCATCGGAGGAGGAGGAAGAACCTCAGCCTCTGACCTCAGTCTCCCGAGGCGGAACTCCATTCCTGACCAAAGAGCGAAACTATTGCCCAAGAGCCCCGGGGCGAGCGGGAGGGACCTGCTGCCTCCTCACCTGACTCCGACAGCTTCAGCTCACAGTCCAGGTAGTCGAACAGCTCAACCGTCAGCTGGAAACTGCCAAAAAACCAAAAATGCCATCACCCGGCGGCAGAGACATCCTTGCTCCGGCTGCTCATGTTCCCTGCAGGTTCCCACCCTGGCAAGGTCTCACACTGATGACAACTCGGTGGTTTTGCTCCCTGCATTTATGCTTCTCACCAGTCTGCGGGCGCAGGAGGAATCGGGCACCATCCAACCGATTTATAAAAGGCCGATGGCTGCCCGGAACAGCAGCCGTTTCGTTAGCAGGCTGCTGCCAGCCTGGGGAGGGGGACAGAGCCGGCGACCACGCACCGGTTGCTTTGCTCCTGCCAGGACAACTCACATGTTGTTCACGTCCGTCCCCGCCGTCTTTTCCAGCACCTCATCCGACACTTCGAGGCCTGGGGGGAACTCGGGATGCTTTGTAAAAGGAAAAAAAAAGAGACAACTGTTGTTGCTGATGTTTTTGCTGATGCGACACAAGCCCCGGTGAAGCCCTGTACCCCGGCACGGCAGGGTGCGGAGGCGGCAGTCTCTCACCTTGGCGTGGAAGGAGATCTTGGTGAGGAGGAGGCGCGTGTAGATGCTCACCAGCTGCCCATACCTGTCATGCAAATGACCCTGCCAGAGACACGAGGGGAAACGGGGCGAATCTGGAGTGATGCGATCGGATCCGGCACAGCCCGTGCACGCCAGCGAACCTGTGCCGGCCCTACGGCTCTCGCCCTCTTGCCCTTCACCATGTGTGTAACCATCACCCAGTGGAGTCAGAGGCGATGGGTTATTTCAGGCAGTGCTCTGCCCTCCCCGTGCCCATGACGCCTTTCAGCGTGACCCACCCCAGAGCCCCCAGGAAGGCACAAACCTCCACTTTGCCCCACTCACCCACAAGTCCCCTGTCTCTCGGATATTGCTGCGGTACCTCTGGCAGTCCTGGAGGACCTGGGGATAAAAACAGGAGGGATGCGGCACGGTGGGGCCGGCATGGAGCTGGGCGAGCGCCCGCCTGCCTGCCCTGAAGCTGGGGAAGGGGACAGATCCATCCCCTTACGCCACTCCAACTTTGGGAGAAGTAGTTAAAGCCTTTCTGTGGCAACCAGAGGTCAGGGCTTTGCATGGGGAGGTTTCAAAGGTGCGAGATAAGAGTGCTTCACAGCCCCAGGGCCTGGGAAAGGAAAGGAAACCCATCCTCTGCGCAGGACGTCAGTAAGAGCCAAAAATTACCCCCTGCCAGCAACGCGGGAGGGACGTTTTGGAAGGGACACTCACGTTGGGGTGGCCATCGCGCAGGACCTTGTGCAGGACGTGGCAGAACTTCCAGCTGAGGATGGCGCTGCTGGGCAGGGGCAGCCCGATGGCGTAGGACCAGAAGGTGAAGGCTCCCTTCTCGTGGTGCGTCCCCAGGATGATCCCTTCCCCGCAGTCAAGGCTAACCAGACACACACGGGAGCAGGGGACAGGCGGCGCTGGGGACTATTCCTCTTCAACATTCATTAAAAAGGGGACAAGCACCGAGTGTGCTGCAGGCGCAGAGATGATGGACACAATGCTGCACCCACACATTAAACCCCCATTTATTTTTTTCTGGTGCACCTTCTCCTGCCACAGGGCACATCGGGGCCTTTTGCATTTTATTGCCAAAGAAATGCCATTTTCTTGCACTGCCCTTCTTTGTATTTTCACTGATGGACGAACCTACAAGACAGCATCCCCCAAGCAAGCTCTGTACGGGTCTCCCATCTCCCAAACCTCCCGTGGCTCCAGCCCCGCGGGGTGAAACCCCTCCTGCCTCGGCACTGGATTTCCTGCGTGTCATGCAGGGGAGCCGAGGGAAAGGATACGGCGGGCATGTTTCTCCTTCACCGGTGCTTCTTGCGTATTTATGGCTTTGCTGATGCTGATGGCCTGCAAGAGAAGGAGAGAGTGGCTGTCAGACACGGCGTGACCGTCATGGCCACCCTGTCCCCCCCAAAGTGAAGTGCTGGTGCTGCTTTTGGGAAATACCCTGAATTTTATAACACATTTGTCACCTCAGAGTCATTTGTGACACATCAAAATAGGCTTTTTTTTATCTGCTAAGTGGTCCATTAAAACCCCCCAGCACAACTGGTTGGAGCCGGGCCACTACCGACCGCGCCACTGATGCTCCCTGCTGTCCCCCTCCCAGGAAACAAATTTTTGCATTTTTGCAGCCTGAACTCAGCAAGGAGCGTGCCCGGGGAGCGTTAAAGCCCGACAGCGAGATGCCAAATTCCAGGGTTGTTTGTCTAAGCACAAGGAGCCTTTGAACGAGGGGGGTGGTGGTGGGTTGTTTTTTTTGACGGCGTTGCTGCGTGCAAAGAGCACGTGGGGAAAACGCAGCCCCCAAGCAAGGAGGGAGCGGCGGCCACCATGCTCGTTTCGATGGAGCAAAAATCCAGAGCGATGTGATTATCAGAGGAGGGTTATCTATATTTTAATGTGTTTGATCACAGCACGCTAAATTATGGTCGGCTGCATCTTTTGCATGATGACAGGGTGGAAAACCGAGCTGCTGTGATCGATGAGGATCTTCCTCCTTCTCGCCGGGTCCCTGCAGGCTCAACTGAGCTGCTTCGCCCTCGCACAAGCGCTCGGGCTGTGCCCGTGTCTGTGAGCCCTCGGTCACCGGCGGAGGAAAAAGGTCCCAGCTGGGAAGGCAGGAAGCGGCCCCGCTGCCGGCGCTTGTGCCGGAAGAGAAACCTGGTCCCTCCCTACAGCCCCATAAGCTGTAAAACCTTATAAAAATTCTTATCTCCGCTCCTGGGGAAAGCACCTGCTTCAACACGGTCGCTGGGCCAGGGGACGCCCCCGAATCGAGGCGCTTTCCTGCAGGAGGAAGAACCCGACGCCGGGTTATCGAGTGCTCCTGACTTATGCAGGAGGAACCTGACGCCCAGCCGAAGGGACGATGCCAAAGGTGTCGATGCACCGAATCCACCCCACATGAGCCCAAAACGGCTGCGCCCCCAAGCCGGGCACTATGGCGGCAAAAACACCGTGAGTGCATGCCAAAAAGTGAGCCAGCCCTGAAACGTTGAGCCTAGTCGCTGGGAAAAGATGTGCCAGTTTTGCCTTTCCCGTGCCGGGGAAGCCCCGGCGTCACCCCGCCATGTGGGGCCGTAAAGCAGCAGTGGAGTTAAGCCGGTGACTTGCTGTAATCCTCTTATCCCCGAAGGTTAACGAGCCTGGAGCGCCCAGGAACAGCGCAGCCGCCTCTGCCGGAGCACCCAGCACCTCCGCAGCCCCCCGAAAGCCTGGAGCCGGCGGAGAGACTGTGCCCTTGACCGCAGCGGGGCTGGCAAGGAGATGCATTAGGGGTCCACAGGGCAGCCAGTACCTTCCAGTACAACACCAAAGTGATGGTTTATTGACAGACAGCAGGGTTTATCATGTGCCAGAGAGCAACAAGCCAATGGTTTTGCAAGGCAGGGCTTGGAAACGCATCTTGCAGCAAAGAGCTGCTAAAGGGGTTATTGCATCGCATTGAGGTGCTTTGCACGGGGGGCAGTAGGGCAGACACATCTCCCAAACGTGGATTTTCGCTGCCCGCTGTGGGTGGGAGCAGCACGATGCCCTCATCCCAACCCACCACGCTGGTCCCAAGCCATCAGCGGGAGCTGGGCTCAGTCTCAAGCCCCACGAGGAGGCGAAGACGGAGGGCCTGACGTGTTGAGACCAGGGCAGACCCCTGGGAAAGGAAACACCATCCCACGTCCCAGGGGATGGGAGCTCAGCCGCGTGGTGCTGGCCGGCAGGACAGGGATAGGGCTGGGACCCAGCTGGCCCATCCCAAAACCAGGCTGTAATTCCCATTGGTGATGGTGGTTTTATTGCGTTTATTGCCCATAATCTCATTTCCAGCCCAACCAGCCAAAATTCAGCCCGGGAGCTGCAGGAGAGGCCGGTTTCATCCTCGGTGATTCAGCGCAGAGGTTTCACCTGAGTCACTTTACGTCCAGCACAGAGGAGCAGACCTGTGCAGCCCCAGCACTGCCGTGATGGAGACGCTGTGTCCAGCGTGGTCCCAAATAAACCATGGTGGCACCGAACTGATGCCAGTCCCTCGGGGCTGTCAGCTCAGGTGTACTTTCACTGGCTCCAAACCCTGGGTTGGCCAGGAGGTCCCCAAAAAGGGGATGGTGGGATGGGCACGGGGCGATGCTGCAGCCTGGGTCATGCATACCTTCAGGATGCCCATGCCGGCTGCTCAGCGAAGCCAGGCCATGGAGGATGGCTCTGAAACGGGGAGATTCACCCTTGACCCAGCCTCTTGGGTACCATCAGCACCTCCAGGATGGGCAGGACCTGGTTGTCACTGCAGGCACGCAACCAGCCTGGCCAAAACCTTCATGCCACCTGTGGACGGTTCTCCATCACTGCCAGGGAGCAGTGCGGCCGGGGGGATCCAAACCCCAAAACCTGCCCGGCCACGGGCCGTGGGAGCCCACACGGGCACAGCCCTCACGCTTTACTCACAGCCCTCACGTACCAAGCCGGTGACTAAAGCTGGGATCAAAGCACCCAAATGAAGGAGCGCAGTTTACATCCACCCTTTCTTTCCAGGCTGTTTTTAATTACGGCGTGATCCTCCCCGCCCACGGCTCCCCGAAGCCCCGGCATCCCGTGGGGCCGCAATCCCCACCCGGCAGGTGGATGCCGGGTCCCGGCGCAACGCCACAGCGGGGAGTGATTTTTTTTGGCAGCAGCTGGAAACCTCCCCGGCTGGGCGGCGCGAGGGCTGCTGGATCAGCTGAACTGCAAACGGCTGCTCCGGAGTTCCCTTCCTAACGCTTCTCCTTCCCAAATTACACCAAAAGTGCACCGCACGGCAGTCACACGCGCTGTATTCCTGGTGGCTCCGGAGCTCGTTGGATTTTTAACCTTCTTGTTTAAGAAAGGCAAAAACTGGCTGCAGAAAAGGGCAAGTTTTGCCTCCTGCCAGGCTGTAGAGCAAATGCCCACTGCGGTACGGCAGCTTCCCCCCTCCCACGCACAGCCGCTCCGAGGGGGACATCTGCATCACCCCGACACAACACCTCAAAAAGCATTTTCAGGGAAAGCAGGTGACCTTCACGTCACCTATGAGCACCCAGGATCACCCCAACGCCAGCAACCCCTGTCCGCACCCGTGGGCATCACCCCGGCCTTCGCAGGGGGAAAGGAGATGGGGCACTCAGTTTCGGCAACATCGTTCTCCAGGGTGGTGTGAAATCCTTGGCCAGAGAAGGCACACAGAGGGGATGTGCCACCGGCGTCCCCACAATATAAAGGCGACCAGAGGCCATCTCCGCAGCTGCTATAATTAGACGTAAAAGGCAAATCAATACCCACGTACTGACATTGGAACAGTTTTACTCTCACCCAAAGCACTGCTACAGGAAAGCACTTTATCTTAAAGCTCCTTTAGGACAGTTTTCAGCAGTTGCTGGAAGAAAAGGTCAGTTCTGGGTGGTAGATGTGACCATCATCCAGCGAGCCCCAGGTTTAGCTCTAATAGAGAGCGACCACCTGCTTGCGCCGTACATGGCTCTGCTCAAGGCAACCCTGTGGCCATGAGCGAAGTCACAGCTGTGTGGGGCGCGAATGCCACTGAAAAGCCCAAAACACCATGGAAGGGCAGGAGGGGGGGAGGGAGCAAGGGAGGAGGGACACGCTCCTGGCCGGCACAGGCTGCCCTTCGGCGCACGAGGCAGCACGGCTGCTGTGATTATTTATCAGCGGTGCCCAGCGGGAACGATTGAAGGAGACACGTCCAGCAGGAACCGGAATTGCCAGTTTTCTTGTGTTGCTCCCCAAACCCAACAAGCTCCATTTCCTACCCAGCGCGGTCAAGCGGCACCGTGACCCTACAAGGCCCGAAATCGCCACCTGCCTTCGCTGGCCAAACCGGGGCCAAACCAGCGCAGCGGCCAGGGACGGACCAGCAAAACAACGAGGGAAAGGGAAAAATATCTATGCTGAATTTGCAGCCTGCAGAATCAGAGGGGTCAGAGGGTGCCTGCTGGGAGGGCACTATGATTTGTGCTGGGGCAGCAGGTAAGCCCGTCCCTCCGTCCGTCCCTCCGTCCATCCCTGCCCACGCTGTTGGAGCCATTCATCTCCCATGAGCCATTCGCCGGCCCCGTCGCGCCTGAGCATCGCCCACTCTGCCGGGGCCATGGGAAGGGCTGCGGACGCCCCTGTCCAAGCCGGACACCGTGGGGCACAATCACATTTGGGCTCTTTTCACTCTGCCCCCACTCTCTCTCCAGGACGGGACACCCCGACTCCCCACGGGGACACCCCACACGTGTCACCCGGAGCTGTGGGGGGTGACACATCCCCGGTGCCAAACAGACCCCGGGGCCGGGACAGGGGTTGTGGCAGTGATGCAGAGATGCTCGGTACCGGTGCGGTGGGCACCGGGAGGAGGGGGGCAGCCCGGGGCTCTTTCCTGCGGCGCTCCCCGGGCCCGGCCGCGCTCCCCCCGGTACGGCGG